TAGGGGAGCGGTTGGGCTGGGGGAGCTGAAAGGGCTTTGCCAACCCAAATGATTCTGTGATTCTATGAATAGCGCTGTCCATACTCAAAGGATTGACTGATGTAAATTCTCGTTCCGTCATATAATAAGGATGAAACCTGGCCTTAAAATTGCCCACTGAGCAGTTTCACCACCACTACAATTCAGTTGCTTTAACCTGCTGGAGTTGCAGACCCAGTGCGTGCCGCAAAACTTTAATTTTGCATCGATTTAAAAACTGATCTTCAGTGTCAGTGCGAAAGACAGCACCATCAGCACGCTGCACGACGCCAGGCAATACGTAGGGACGTTATAAACTCCCTGCTGGGTTACAGCTGCTGCTGCTGCCTGAGGGTCCCTTTGCCCAGGGGAGCAAGGGAGCAGTAAGCCCGGTAGCAATGTGCAGCCATTCCTGGGGGTGATCCCTGTGGGTGCAGCAGGGTGCCGGCAGCCGGGCACTTTGCCGAGGGCACTTTGCCAGCTGAAGACACCGTTAACCCCTGCTCTCCCATCCCACAGCGATACAGGCCATGCTTATTATTTTTACCACGATCTATTACTATCTGTACTATTTTCATCATCGTTTACTCTTCTAAAGCTGTTTCTTCTGGAGATGACACGCTGTCACTGCTTGTGACGGTTCTTAATTTGGATACGATCATTTTATAATGCCTACAGTTCACATAAGAACCTGGTATTTTGCAAACAGTAAAGGCTAAATTTGTACAAGTACTGCTCTCGTGCCCTGAAAATAACCTTAAGAAACCTGAGACTTGCGGCCATACAGTTTAAAGCCATTTTCACCTATCTGTGCGAAAATCAGCTGAAGCTCATTTTAGGGAGACTTACTGCCAAGGCAACGAGAACTGAGACTCATGGCTACTCCTGAAGGCCACAGACTTTTTTTCTGGTGAGCAAATGAAGCTGTTTCCTACCTTCTCTGCACAGTAAAGTCAGGACACCCTGCTGTCTCGCTGACAGCCCTCCCAACATTAATCCTGGGAACCAAAGTTCTGCAGTAGCCCTGAACTTATGCAGAGGCAAACACAGAATTCAACCACACTGCAGCACGCTGGCATAAGAAAATGAAGCCTCTTCTATAGAATCCTAGAATGTTTTGGGTTGAAGGGACCCCTAGAGGCCACCCAGCCCAACCCCCCTGCAGGAGCAGGGACACCTTGAACCACATCAGGTTGCTCACAGCCCCGTCCAACCTGGCCTGGAATGTTCCCAGGGATGGGGCCTCCACCCCCTCTCTGGGCAACCCCTGCCAGGGTTTCACCACCCTCACTGGAAAGAATTTCTTCCGTAGATCTAGTCTACACCTGCCCTGGTTTAGTTTAAAGCCATCCCCCCTTGTCCTGTCCCAGCTGGCCCTACTAAAAAGCTTGTCCCCCCCTTTCCTCTGGGCCCCCTTTAAGCCCTGCCTGCAGCCTTCTCTAGGGGCCAGGCTACTCATCAGTTCTTAATTCTACAAAACATGCTTTAAGCATTGGAATATCTGGGCGACAAGTCCCCAGCGTATTTCTGTCCTTAATCCCAAGGGAAAAGTCACCAGGATAATTTCAACATAAAGAAACATCCGAGGGATGATGGGTGGGACTCAAGTGGGGAAGCTGAAAGGATCCAGGTCTCCGGCAGGCGAAGGGGGAACTCACCGTGCCCGATGTGGAGGAAATGGCTCTGCCTCCTGCAGCAGCCCCTCTCTGCAAACAGGTTCCCTCGCTCGTCCTCTCTGCCGATGGCTCCGGCACCTGCGGTCGCAAACCACCAAGCCCAGCATTACCCCAGTTATAATTCAGCACTTTTCCTGCCTGAGCTGGGAGGAGGGGCTGAGGGCTGAGCACAAGTCTCCAGCCACCCGTCATCCTGAAGCAAATGGCTTCAAGCACAAGGAAGAGATTTAGAATAAATGGACATGGCCCATGTGACCTCTCAGACCAGGCTAGTTTGGGCTAAACACCCCGATTATCACCCCAAGCAAAGGCGGTGTTGGAGCAGTGCTTTATGTCAGGAGATCCGTCCCCTGCGCTCTTCTACTTCCACATTACCGCAACGCAAGCTTGGGTAAGAGGAGTGAATCTCACGCAGAACAAAGCACGGGCACCATATCCCCAAAGATTTCTGCACAGCAGCTCCCTCCAAGACAAATCCCAAATTACTTGCTGAGCGCGGACAATCCTCCGTGCCGCTCACAGCGAAGCGCCGCAGAAAACCTACACCATGCCCACGCGCAGCCTCGCACCACCTCCTGCACAAGCCCTTTTCTCTCCTATGCTGAGGCCAAAGCAGCGCCAAAGACAACGAGAAGGAAAAAGGAACTTACTGGTGAAGACGGGAGCACGCAAGAGCCCTGCGAAGAAGACTACAGCCAGCGGGTCCTGCATACTGCGCCTTGGGAGACACAAAAAGGTCTCCAGCAGCTCTGATACTTATAGCGAGCCCTCCCTCAGCAGGCGAGGAGGGGAACAGCGCGGAGGCAAATGGGTTCGCATATCGCCGGCAAATGTCTCCCGATTGCGATCTGAACAAACACCGGGGCAGCGAGGGCACCTCTCCCGCATCTCTCCCACATCTCTCCCGCATGTCCGCAGGGATCAGGCTTCCAGCGAACTTCAAAGTGTTCCTCGTGAGCAACTGGTTTTGCGCCCAGCCTGGGGAAGCTCCCTTGGGGGTCTTTGTTCTTACCACCACTCCGAAACTAATTAAATTTGTGCTGATTCGGAGTCACTTTCAAGTCCCCTCATTTGAAAGGAAGATGCATCCCTCATCCGCAGGCATGGCATTCAATGGCCTTGTTATCTAGGGACAACCCTCTTTTGGCCCTCCGCAACGCCAAACCCGGGACAAAGCTCTCTGATAAAGACGGCAACACGGCAGGACTCGGCCACATCAGCAACGAACCACACGGAGAGGCCTGCAGCTCTGGCTTTGCCTCTTTCCAGTGTGACCGAGCCCTGGAGCCAAGCAGAGGCATCTCCCTTTCTAGCTTGTTAAATACCCGGAGGGAAGCACTGGTCTCCCGCGCGCTGGGACCAGCAGAGGCACAGACAGCGCTTGGGTGCTGAGGGCCTCTCACAGACACGCTGGTACGTCCTGAACGCTCGCTGCCTGCGGCTCTTCATTGCCGGAGTTAGGATCCCCACACCAACCTGGCCAAGCGTACACGCCAGGGACTAGATCCAATTCCCAGAGAATTTTTGCCAGGTTCGGGAATGAGAGCGCACAAGTAGAACCGCGATGGCAGCGTAATGCACCTGACACCACTCTGGCATTCAAAATATGGTTTTGGGGGTGTGGGTGGGGTTTTTTTTTTGGCTACAGACATAGGTGCAGCGATCACAGAGATCTATGGAAGCTGTACAACCCTAGGAACAAGCCAAGTCTCCCTGCAGCTCATACATAGCTCCTGGGGGACAGCTGGGCCTTGAGCAATTAGCAAAAGCAAACCACTATTGGAAGGCATCCTCTCCAAACTACGCCGTCTACCACAGCGCTACGGGAACACCGTCCCCTTTGTCCGGGCAGCACAGAGGAGAAATCAGGACAGCTCTTCAACAAAAAAAATAATTAAAAAAAAAAAAAATTTAATGTGTTCAGCCAAGAAACAAACATATACAAAGAAAAATACATTTCCATAAAAAATAATTCACCATGCCTGGGCATCTGAGCCAAGCCGCTCTCCGTCCACAGCTCCGTGGTGCTGCAGAGTCCCGGGGGGGCAGGGACTGCTGCTCCGAGCGGCTGGCGCGTCCCCCGGCACACAC